GAGCGAATAAAGGCAGCAACGTAATATGTTAACCCCTTGCTGTAGAGTACCGAGTCGGAGTTGCGGTGAACGCTTTTACTTTGAATTTAGTAGACAGGAACGTGGAGGGGAAATATTTTCTTTTGCGAACGTTCAACCTTTATCGTGAACCGCACCATTGGAACAAATATGTAGTCTGATTTTTCTAATTAAACATTGCTGAACCCTTGTAAGCCTCTTCAGATTGCGAATGGTGAAGCAAGGGGTTATATAGACGCTGAAATGGTGATTATAACTTTTCTAATTGCTCAACCGGCGCTGCATCGATTCACGCAACGCTCTTTTCTTTTTTTCAACGAGCTTTATCCGTCGGCTTGCGACGAACGAGACGCGCTAATACGTATAGAGATAAAAGATATGCTTGAAAAAACATTGGCTCGTGAATTGCTCGATTCAGGGACTGGCCCACATTTTCATTTCATTCTTCTTTTCTTGTTCATCTCTTTTTTTCCATCTCGCATTGTGCTTTAGAGTACGTACAGCGTACGACACCCCTGCACAATGGGAACTAAGGATTTCATGCCAGGTTTGACCTGTTGATTCTGCGGTGAATACGCCTGTCGTTATGCGAAGCATGCACGCTTAATAATTTACCCCTACCCCCCGATGCTATCAATCCGCGACATGCATGCCCCTGACTGTTATCTTGTGAACGTATTTCTGTTGTGTATAGTACATTTGATTACACGTCACGTGACGCGATTCACGATTTGTGTCTCGGGTGTGCAACGAGATCGGCCATTGAACGGCGGTCTGTGAACCGTAGACATCGTACAGGCAACGATCGTTCTTTTTCTGGAATTCTTTTTCAGAGGAGGAACAAGGTTTCACGTTGAAGTTTGGTTGATGCGTTGATCGCCCAATCGGTATACATCAAATTACCTGTAACAGCACAACGATTTTCCTAACGAAACGGAAACTGATAAAGATTTTTCACGATTGCTGCCTTAACCTTTTTGCATCTCATAGATTTAGGGAAATTAGGTTCTCCCGCTTTGTGGATGAGACAATGAATGTTTCTATCTATGCAAGAAATTATGCTACCCAAATTTGTGTGACATGGTGATCAACGCGTTAATCAGTCACGTACCTCATTATCATTTGATAATTAATAGAACGTTGGTGCTATGCGGTCCATTGTAATGGAAGTTACTCATGTTTATTCGAGCTACATTTTTAGATTGAAATAAATTTGTAAAATCTGTTCTCTGCCAATTTGAGATGCCTGCATTTGTCACGCATGTGAGCGTTAACCTTTTGCCCTGTGATCCCTTGACAGAACTACTTTTTTTAACGAGTTATTAGAAAATGGAAAAATTCCATGCCCATTTTGTTTATTTGAAAGAATAATAACTGGCAATAAAAAATATTTCGTTTATTCTCAAAAGAGTTGAATAACATTTGTATTTATTAAATTTTATTTGGAATCGCTTCAAGTCTGATACGATATTATATGGTAATAGGTTAAAAATTAATTTAATTTCTTTAATTCGTATCCTACTTTTTTAATGCAGAAATATTTACGGTCAATTAAAATATTTATTCAAAGTGGATGATTTACGTATAAGTTATTCTTTTGAGTAAGAATGATGAAAATGTCAGGTTTTCCTTTGTTCAACTGTTTTACAGTTAGCGTATTAAACTAAAAATTCGATATAAATTCTTTAATATATACTTTACGCAATACAGCAGTTATTGAGAAAAAATTTTCCATGTGGTTAAAGAAGAAAAATAGAGTAAAGAGTTAATCCCGTTTACTTTGTTATTATCCTTTCGATCAAGATAAAAGGTTGAGACATCGTACAAACGACCTTCCTTGGAATACCATCGAATGGTTTATCACAAGTTCAATTTCCTGTAAGAGAACATTTGATCCTTTTATTTGTTCACTACTTTTTCGCGATGCTTTGTTTGTATCCTACGGAACATTTATCCTGAGACACCCTTTGTATGAAAGAATTGTTATTATTTTTATCACATCAAAACAGTTTCAAATTCCTTTCTTATTTGAACGTAAATGAAATGATATCGCGTAAAATTACGAATCAGTTGCTACTTAAATTTTAAGCGTAAAATTTCAGGCTTGATTTAATAGAAAATAATTACTGATAAATTCATATTGTTTATTAACAAATACGATTATGAGATTGTTTAGAATAATACGAAATTTTGACCAATAATTGACTTTTTAGAATTAATTTGAAGAGAAATTTCAACAAATCATGGATCGAAGCTATATTGTTTCAATGCTTTATATATTGATATATTATAGAAAACTGAATATTAACCCCTTACCATGTAATGACGAGTGACATTGTTGTTAAAGATTTCTCGATCAGTTTAATAAAAATCAATGTTATTCATTCCGTATGGATCAAAGTAAGTTTGTTTTGCTGATATCAATGTTTCACCCCTAACCTAAATGTACACTTTTCCATTCAGAAGAAGACTTGGTATTCTTGTAAATGATGAACAGCGCAATAAACGGAATCAGTACATCATCAAGTAAATCATACGTCAAGGGATTAAATATCAGACTTTGTAACTTTGTCGTACTAAGTTAAGTAGTCACTGAGAGTCGGCTCCTAAGTGCAAAGGGTTAACTTTGTCGTATATAATTTTTGTACTATCTTCTAATTTCGACCTGACCTTCTCAAACAGCAATTTTCCTTCACTAATCATCAACCTCTTGCCATATGATTTCTTTCACAATTATGCTTGATATAGATACTTTATAATATTTTCTTAGAGAAAGAAAATACTTTGCTGCTTATTCTATGTCTACGTTTAATCCAGATGTTAGCCATCGACAGTAGAAAAATAATGTTTAATTCACATGAAGAAAAATAAGTAATACGTAGATTCGCTAAATTCAATAGAAAATTTTCGTCACGAGCCTGACACGACACCGTAGGGCAAGGGTTAAACGTGCATAGTTTGCGCGCTCGTGGCAGACACGAGTGTACGCAACGTAACGGCAACGCATATTCGACAGAACTTAAAACACTAAAACTACCGAGCAGTTCAATTGACCTTTTGAAATTCCTCTATAGAAACTGCAAGAGTGCATCCATTGAGATTTTAATTGATTTACAATTCAGCTTGCTCAGAGAAACATCTGTTATCTTTTCAATAATTGCAAAAAGAAGAAATCAGGAATTGGTCGTTTTGACCCGTCTGGTAGTTTTAGCGTTAATGATATTTGAATTATCATTTACGATTCGAGTATAGCGCACATTCTGCACACGGGGTAGTGAGAACGCACGGCGAAGATGTCAATCTATTCGATCTCGCGGAATTGATTTTCAATATCGATGTGAGTGTGTTGCGTCAGTGAACTGGTGGCGCGATAAAAACATCCCAACGGGGAAAGCTGACACTCACGGATTCCTGTGAATTTCGCGAGCCGCCAGGAAAACTGAACGAATCCATGGACACTGAGCGTTCGTTCAAGCATTATCGGCCCTAAGGAGAGTCCGTTTTCGGATGGCAATCTCGTGGTGAGTGCTGCTTATCCTTCTTAAGTATTGTCATTATTTATTCGGGATAGGGCGGAGGTCGAAACGTGGACGGTGGGTAGTAGGTAATGCCAACGTGTTAACCCTGCATCATGCTGGAGATGATGATATAAATTATAGAATATTAGGAGTGATTTGAGAAAGTAATACACTTTAAAAGATTATAAAAATTAAATCTCAATATAATATTAATAAATAAAATAAATATAGAACATTGAATTCTATCGCTGCGAGTTACTGTAATTCATTCCTCGAACGACTGGTAAACATTCACTTTAGGGGAGGTAGCTTAGGTGATCCTTTAGCTTGCATTGTCAAGGGTGAGATTTTAAGCAATGTTTGCCTAAACATGTACGTCACTATTGTTCGGCTTTAGTTTTCGAAATATTCATGAAAAACTGTTGGTACCACTGTATTGAACTGTGTTTATATCTGCACATCCATGTGAAATGGAACCATGTGAAACAAAAAGTACGTTGGTAATATAGATTTTCATAAAACTGACGTTTGTTGTAAAAGTCCATGTTTTTATTGGTATTGGAGAGACAAATTCTTTATGGGGTGGGGATGCAGGGCAACGTGCAAATTGTACCAGAGTGTAAAAAAGCGATTATGTGATATAGTACAAAGAATACAAAGGCAGATTGAACAGAAGAGAAGAGTAGAAAAAGAGTTTGTATAGCTTATCACCCAATTAAACATTGGAGAATTATTATTCATTATTCGACTACAAATGTTTATGTGGATATAGATTATGCCAATTACACTAATTCACAGAAAGTGGAATGAAACAGAAATAAACGCTTCACATTGAACTTTTTATTAGTAATAATAAAATAGTAATATATTTAGTAATAATATATGAACGGCGTTCGTAGAGTTATTTATAGTATCTTCAATAACAAGTTTGTTTGATATGCCGATATAACGCGTTATCAAAATTATCGTAGTTTTTATTGTCGAAGGAAATTAGGTTTAACAAGTTTCGAAAGGAATCGTGGATTTTTTATGGAATATTTATAACACTCTATGTTCATCGTAATGCACTTTATTTTAGGAGATTCCAAATTCGATGCTGAGCTGTAAATAACAAAGTTCCGGGAATAACTTCGCGGTTTAATCGTAACGTAACCGCTGTGCTTGGTTACATAAGATTGATTTCTCCAAAACCGTTATTTTAAGCAAAATTCTAGAATCTTGGGGAGGAGAGAAGATAATTGTAGCCTTGATAGTTAACCGTTTGCACTCCAGAGGCGTCTCTTAGTCGCTAATTGATTTAATATAGCAACATTGCAAAGTTTGACGTTTACTATTAAACTTTGTATAACGCATCAATATGTGAAGTATTAAAATAAAATAGCGTTGTTCTTCGATTTATCGTTATTTCTCGTCAAGTTACTTTCAGAAAATATTGTCTGTATCTCATTAGACAATGTTAAGTATTTCCAGTAAAATATTTCTATAGTACAAAGAGATCGTAATTCAGTATGCAGAAACCGTGATTCCTCGTTATTAGTCTGTAGAAATCTTAACCTGTTAACCGGGTGATTTTCCAAGTGTAAAAACTCGCGTAAGCGTAATTAGAAACGAATTAAATTAACAAAGTGTAAACCAATACAAGCTAATTTTAGCATTGTTTCAAACGTATTATAAATTTATGCTCAACCAATACTGATGTTAATAAACTTTCGCAATGAATATGAAACCTGTACTTTTCTTATTATTGCAGTAAACACAATTTAAAAAAAACTAAAATAAAGAAAATTAAAATAAAAAATGGTAAATATTCACTGAAAAGATTGAAAAGAAAAATACTTGTAATTGTAATCATTACTACAACGAATCCTACATTTAAAATTAATATTTTATTGATATAATAAAACATAAGCTTATAATATCGTATGACATGAACTCTTCTGGTTGAGGTGTATTACAAGACCACTTTCACATTTTCTTTATACTTTACAACGCTTAACGGTAGCGAATTCTTGCAGGCTGATCACTTATAAGACTTCTGCAGACTGTCCTTTTATGGCATAAAGTATGCGTATGAACGCAGAATGAAATCTGTTGCAAAAATGAGTCACTCAGAAGCCAGTGCGGTTAAGTGAATTTTTTTATATTTCCTGATCTTTGTAAATTTGAATGGAATAAATAATATTCTTCTTAGTTATTCAAGGATCTACTCGTTCCTTCGTTCTAAGTTAGAAAGCCCTTCTTTTTATAACTTCTGAATACGTTGTATAATCATTTCAGAAGCTAAAACATGAATTTCCTCAATTTTTCTCTTCTGGACTCAATCGCATTGACTTCTGAACGACTGACATATTGCTTGGAAATGATTTCTTATTATAACAAGTGGAAGTTCACACTTGTTTCACTGAAATAGAATACGAAAAAGTGTGGTTGCCTCGTTCTTGCTGCAAACCTTTCAATTATTATAATTCATCTGCACTGATCTTTTTGCGGAGTTTTCTAGCGCGTCGCCAATCCCATTAGTCGGAGTATGCATTGATGGGAGAAGTTCCTCCGTATTCCGTACGCGTTGTATACTCTAGGGAAATTGTGAAATTTAATTGTGTCCTGTGTACCGCGTTTATATTCATACAATGGAACGCGCGTTGTACGATTAAACACGGTTAAGCACGAGTCCAAGGTGCACGGGAATTAATTAATAACGTGAAATATCTTTCATTTTCTTTGCCTGTTAACACATTGCTGACCGGTCACGAGTTAACTCGTGTTTTCAATTTTCAAAACATAGGACAATATAAGATATTGCAAAAAAAAATATTCAACGTTATATAACAGGTACGTCCAAAGTTTCATTTCAATTCATTATGTATAAGATAAATAAAGTATATTGAAGTTTTATTTAGATTGTTTCACTTTCGTATTTAACGCTAGGTTTATGGAACGCGTCAATTTGACGCACATGGAATTTTATAAACATTATTTAGTAAATGTTTCGACGGGTTTGAATATGTATTCTAATTATCCATTTTTAAATCTATAATTTTCGAATTCTAAATAAACGAATATCAACTTTTCTAGGAACAATAGAATAAACTGCACAATGAATACTCGCAAACCTGGTGTTAATTACGGAATAACCGGTGACATTAAATAGGTTAAAAGGCGTTGGAGGGGACGCAATTTGGCAATATTTATCAATCATGAATTTGCCTTCATTTTATTCGCATCGCGAACTGTTCTTGCTTCGGATGGGAATATTTTCCTCGGTTCAGGTTGAACAATTTCGGTAAAGTGACATTGTTACTATCGGTTATAGAGAGTATTGAAAAATTGATAGATTTGGAATCAATTACAATGCAGATATCTTGTACTGTTTCTCCAAAAAGCGAATTTAAGGGAAGACAATTATTTTTCTAATTATGGCTTGATATAAAAATTATATAATATAGCCCTTCGAGGTTATATTCATTTTACGTATTAAATATATTTAACATTTAATTCATGTATTAAGTGAGTGTTACGTTAGACATTATTACATAATTCAATTTCTGACGACAATCCTTATCTCATAAGTTCATCGAACTACTATTTCATAGCGTAATATGATTTACATACCTTTCACCCTGAGTTACTGCACACACTTCTGTAGAATACGAAAGCAAACAGTTTTCATGAACCTGCAAGCATAACGAACGCAGAGGCGTTAATGAATTTTCTTTGTATATTGGATGTACTGTTATTGGGTGCAACGGAAAATCTGAATACATTTGAATATATTGTATGTATAGGTACATCTTTCCTACCATATAGTTACATCATCGATTCCGGATCATGCATATGCAACGAGTGTATATTATGTCTTAAATGGTAGTGTGTTATTACGCGCATGTAATGTTATTTCATTACCAAAAATAACAATTGTTCTGCTGGGTATAAAGTAGTATATACGGCACATGCTTTTAATTAGTTTGCTTATATTTTTCATATTTGAATATTTATTTTACTGTAATGAAAAACATTAATTATTTATATTCAAAAAGCTTGTTCCATATTTAACACTAACTGTGCTATGCCATACAAATTTTGAATTTTAATTTAAAATTCTGCTTTTTCTCTCTCGTTCATTTAACTTTATATAATTCTTTTATGATCCAATTAAACAGTTTTTCAATTTTTATCTTTTTTTTCATTTTTCTTTTCACCGTAAAAAATGTATTGTCTGACTTGTTTACCTTTCATTTACAACCGTTTATTTGGGTCGCTACGTTACGGATAAGCGTATATAAAGTGCTGACAATATACATTAAATGTTAACCGTTTGCGATCGAATGTAATGGCGACTTCAAGCTTCGATATGCAAAATGGAAACCTGCTAATGAATAATTTAATTATTCAGAGAATGAGAGATTGATATGTGGCTTTTTTCTTCTAGTATTTAAAATTTCGATACATAATTCAGTTTTTTATGAAAAGAAATGTTAGAAGTTTAACACTAAAACTACCAGACGGGTCAAAGTGAACTATTTTTAAGTTCTCCCTTTTGCAATTATTAAAAAGATAACAGATGTTTATCTGAGAAATTATTAAAGAAATTGGTTTAGCAATACGGAAATTGAATCATAAATCGACTAAAGCCTCGATAGATGTACTCTTGAAGTTTGTATAAAGGAATTTCAAAAAGTCACTGTAACTGCTCGGTAGTTTTAGTGTTAAGGCAGTCTCGTTCGCGAAGAGTTAATAGAAAATCGTCAACCTTTAAGCGTCTTTATCTATCTATAATTATTTAGTGATTCTTCGAAGATCTCAATCTTTCAAGTACCAGAGGAAATTTTCATACGTATTCGAGAAGTGCCAGAGAATTTTAAATAAAGATGCATGGTTATAAAGGAAAATTTATATTTCGCTCAATTTTGATCTAGAGTAGAATTAAATTTTAATACAATAACATTTTTACACAATACTAAAACATGTTAGACTTCCTTTATTACTAATAATATATCGTTTCT